AGATTTTGTGCATTTCATATAATAGAATTTAATCAAATTTAGATGCCTTCCCCCATATAACCCCCTGGATATAATTTAGTCTGTCATACATGTTAAGTCCTATTGGAACAAGCACTTGTACCCAGATGTCCTCAGGTGCAAGTTCATCTACTAGACTCTAGTCAGCCTAAATGGAATCATTCACTTAAAGAAGATATATTCTCCCTAACCTCCCAGTATTCAGTTGCCAATAGTTTCTTGGCAAAGATTGGGGCCTGATGTCCATTACCCAAGTTCTGTGCTGTGTTTTTGTCTCATAGTATTAGCATAGATACTCTGCATGCTGTCACCATTGCTGCAAGTTCATATGACCAAGTTCTAGAGACCTAAAAACCTATTTCCTTGGGTTCATGCACCAATGCTAACTCTTACAATCTCCAGCCCCTTCTTCTGCAATGATCCCTGAGCCATGGGTGGGTGAAGTATAATAGAAGAGTCCTATACAGGACATGTATTCTGCAGCTCTTACTCTCTAAAACTTGGCCAATTATGACTTTTTGTGTGCATCGCACTCTGTTTTATGAGGGGGCTTTTCTGGGCAGAGTTAAGGGGTGTATTAGTATTCCCTCTACCCCTTGTCCAGCTATGTTTTGTTACCCTGAGGTGTAGAGGTTCTACTGCAGATGTGTTGCTTATGGTTGGACATCTCTCAGACACATGTTCTCTGTGTGTAACCAGTTGTGAAACTGTAGTATCTTCCATCTGTTAAAAAAGAAGCTTATTTGATAAGTAGTGTATTTACTTTTCTGTAATTATAATTATCCATATTTAACATACAATAAGAAATTTGATATGTCTAGGGATATGAAAGAGATAGAGGTTTCTCTAGGAGATATGACCTCTCCAGACGTGTATTTACAGTGCCACCCATGAATTCTGTCCCATTGAGAGGGTTTTATGTTCAATTAGATAGCTGTTGATTTCTTATAGATAAAAGTGCTTCTATTGCACCAATAGAGATATTTTGCTGTGCTAGTCATTATGATCATTAGGCTTTACACCTGGGTTGGATCATGGATTGATTTTCTCCCTTAGCAGCTTGCATAACATTCTCTAGAACTATGAGAGCTAGTCTTCAGGGAGCAGGCTTCCATGTCAGTCCAGCTCCATTGCTCCAAGTCTCTGTCTGAAGACTGTCCTGTTTTCAGCAATAGGGTCTTACCTTCAAGTTCTGGGAGGTAATAAAGGACTGTGGCAATAGCCTTTGTTATTTTATTTTGGGAGTCTCTTGGGCTACCCTGACCAACAACTTGAAGCAAAGTTTCTCAAGTTAGGCACTATGTTTCTTGTTATATAGCCTTCAGGTAGTCACAAGTTCAGATATTATATGTGTATTTTTCAGGGAATTTGAGTTAACATGTTTCCCTCTAATTTTTTACTTCACTTAAGTTTTATTTATCTCACCCTTCTGTCTCTCTCCCTCTCTAACATCCCTCCTCCCTCCCCAATTTAGGTACCCCCATTTTCCCTTGTTAATACCTGTCTCCCATTATCCCCCCTTTCTTGTGTTCCTTCATTCCGTTTACCCCATGGTTCCTTGTATGTCCCTCCCTACTCCTTTCCCAGTTAAATACCCTTCCCATTTTACCCATTTTACCCTTGGTAACATCTGCTAACTACTATCCACCTCTATCAGGCTCTTTCTTTCCCTTTACCTATGTGGTTCCTTACCATTTTCCTGACTCCTGCTGTTACACAAGGATATATACTCACATGTAAGAGATTGGTGCTACAATCCACAAATGAGGGAGAACATACTTTAGTTGAGGGACATTTAGGTTGTTTACATTCATCAGTTGAAGGACATTTATGTTATTTCCATTTCTTAACTATTGTTAAAAGAGCAGCAGCAAACATGAACATACAGATATCTTTACAGTAGGATGAGTCTTTTGAGTATAGCCAGGTAGTGCTATAACCAAATCATATGGTAGATTCATTTTTAGTTTTTTAAGAGTTCTCCAATCTGCTTTCCATAGTGGTTGAACCAGTTTGTATTCCCAGAAGTCATGAATGGCATTCCCCTTTCTTCAGGCAGTCACCAGCATTTGGTGTTTTTCTTCTCTAGATCTTTGCTATTCTGACTGGGATAAGATGAAATTTTAAAGTGATTTGCATTTCTTTAATTACTAAAAATGTTGAGCACTTTATAAGTTGTTTCTTAGCCATTTTTATTTCTTAGAGAACGCTCTGTTAAGGTACTTAGCCCATCTTTTGATTGGGTCATTGATTTTCTTGTTTCTTTGTTGTTTTGTTTGTTGAGTTCTTTGTATATTCTGGATATTAATGCTCTATTGGATGTGTAGCAGGTGAAGATTTTTCCCCCATTCATTGGGTTTCCTCCTCACTTCCTTATTTTTATTTTTTTCTTGTGTTTCACAGTAGCTTTTTAGTTTAATGAGGTCATACACGTTGATTGTTGACCTTGATGTCTGAGTAGCTGATGACAGATTTAGAAAGTCCTTTCCTACACCTATATCTTGTAGGGCACTGTCTCTGGTTTCTGGCAGTTTCAGAATTTCAGGTTTCATATTGAGGTCTTTGATCCATTTGGAGTTGACTTTTGGGCAAGGTGAAACATAAGGGTCCAATTTTATTCTTCTACAGGTAGAGATCCAGTTTTGTCAACACTATTTTTTAAAATATTTTGTTTGTTATTTGTATTTTATGTGTATGAGTGTTATGCCTGCATGTAAGCAAGTGCACCCGTGCCAGGCAATGATCACGGAGGACAGAAGAGGCTGTAGGATCCCTTGGAACTGGAGTTATGGACAGTTGTTAGCTGCCATGTGGGTGCTGGGATTCGAACTTGGGTCTTCTGCAAGAACTGTCAGTGTTCTTAACTGCTGAACCATCTCTCCAGCCTTGTCAACCCCAGTTATTGAAGATGCTGTCTTTCCTTTGTTTTGTGTTCTTGGCATCTTTGTCAAATACCAGGTGGCTTAAATTGTGTGCACTCATGTTTGTGTCTTGTTTTATGTTCCATTTGTCTACATGTCTGTTTTTGTGACAATATCATGCCATTCTTATGACGATAGCTCTATAGTATAGTTTGAGATCTGTTATGGTGATCCCCCATCATTGCTATTTTTGCTCATTTGCTTTGGCTATTCTGGGTCTTCAAAAATTCCATATGAATTTTAGGGTGGTTATTTCTAGCTCTGTGAAGAATATATTGGGAATTTTGATTGGCATTGCATTCTAGTTTGCAGCATTTTTTTTACAGCACACCACCAAGGTTTATTGAAATATAAGCAGTACTCCACACAATAAAGAGACAAGCTCTGGGCAAGGGGAAGCAGGTAGAGGTAACCAGGGTAGAGTGCAACTTGAGCAGACCCCTCTTGTTCTCTGATGATGACAAGACAACATTGGTGAATTTTTTCAACATATATTTTATTTAATTTTTATCCATCTCATACAAAACATTTTAATCATTTCAATACCTTCTCCCCCATCCACAACCTCTATAACTTTCACACACAGCTGATTTCATGCATTTTGCCATTTATGTTCAGGCCTAGCCATAATATTTAGCTGCCATTAATATATTGGTAGTACTATTATTTATTAAATAAAATACATATTTTGCTGAAAAAATTAAAAGGTTTGATTTTTGAAGATGGTAACAATTAAAATTTGTTATCCACTTATTTTTATTATTTTGCACTATGCTACTTTATGTCTTTCCTTAAAGGGATTAAATCGACACCATTCCTTTCCATCCTAGCTCAGGAGAACTTGGCTGTCTCTCAAAGGTAGGTACTAAGTTCCTAGTCACAGGAAAAGCTGATCTATTTAGAGGTAAACTTATTTTATTAAGCATTTGCTTGTTTTTAAGTGCATTTTTGTGCTGTTTGATGAATAGTTTTCTTCATTTTCAATTGAGAATTTCATACAATGTATTTTGATCATTTACTCACCTGTCATAATTCCTCCCACATCTACCCCTCCCATCCCTACCCACCCAACTTTATGTGCTCATTTTTTTATTTTTTGAAATCCATCAAATCTAATTTGTGTTGGCCATATATTCTTGGGTGTGGTACTGTCCACTTGAGAGTCATCAACCAACCAGGAGTCACACCTCTAAAGGAAATTAACTCTCTCTATCCCAGAATTTCCATCATCTATAACCTCTGGCACTAAAAGTCTTTCTTCCCTCCTCATCTGCAATGAACCCTGAGGCTTCAGCAAAGGAGTGTGATGTGTCTGATTTAGAATTCAGCTCTCTGCAGTCTCTGATTCTCTGTACTTGGATAGTTGCGGGTTTCTGTGTTAATTGCCATCTAATGCCAAAGAAGTTTCTCTGATTATTGTTGGAAGGTGCACTAATCAATGAGTATAATGATGACTCTTTAGTAGTTAAATACTATGTCAATTTAACAGACTATTAGTAGTACTTTCTCCCTTAGGGCCTCTGAAATATCCACCCACTGGATCTTGGTCCCAATAACAATGCCAGATATGTGTTCCACTTTTTAAATCAGGCCTCAAATCCAATAGAAAGGTGGCTAGTTACTCCCCTGTCATTTATGCCACTATTACACTAGTGGACAGGTGCTGCCAGGCTCTACTATTAAAGGATCAAGTTTGCAACTAAAAGGAAGGTGCTTGGTTCACAGCACCCACACTTGTCTCTTCAAATTCCTTTTCATTCTATGTTTAAATTTGTTTGCTTTGCTTTTTGTATTTTGAAACAGGTTATCATGCAACCCAGTCTTAACTTGAACTCACTGTGTAGCCAAAGATGGCCTTGAACTTCTGATGCCCCTGCTTCTACCTCCTAAAGCACATGAACCACCATGCCCACTTTATGCAGTGTTGGGGATCAAACCCAGGACTTCTTGCATGCTAAGAGAGCAGTCTACCAACTGATCTACATCGACAGACCTTCATTACACTTTCACTTTGATTGTGTGTCACATAATTTGAGTGACTCCACTTTGGTTTTCTGTTAGGTGCTGGTGCAGGAACTCAGTAATGAACTTCTATAAATAATGTGTAGCAATGACATAGCAATGACCTGGAAGCACTTAAGATAAACCCAGGTAAGGAAATGGAATAAATGATACAGGATGCTATTAAGGATGTGAGGATTTCAATGCCAGAGTGTGAAAGAGGGGCCAGGAGAAAGAACTTAACATGAGCATTTAACTCAACTTTGATTGGTATACAGTACCCAAATGAGAATTTTAAGAATAAGGAAGGAGGCAGAGGGGGCAAGGAGAGATAGGCCTCAGTGGCCACCCAGGATTGAAAAACTATGAAATGTTGGTGAGAGGAAAATATAACAAGCTGTACCCAGGTGCTGACAGTTATGAAAGAGAAGATTCGATGCTCCCAGCCAGAGACCCTTTCCTTTTGGAGGATTTGTTCTTCTGGTAATGACTTTAAGATCCTTGAAGAAGATAAGACTCTATGTAGTTGAAAGTATACACATCTCTAAAGAATCTCATGGACCCTGAATAACCTGATCTTTGTTTGTTTGATAAGATTGAGTCTTATTATGTAAGTCTTTCTTCTTCAACTCCTTCCCATACCAAGTGCCAGGAGTATAGCTGTCCTAAACCATGCTGTTAACAAAAGAGTTTTGAAAAAGAACAAAGCAAGAGCTCCTATACTTCTGATTTCAAAATTACTATAAAGATGTAGTAATCATATTTACCTTCCCCATTAATCTCAGTTTGCTACTATAGCTGATCTCTTTCCTCTTCCCATCTAATCTCCCTAATACTATATTCTCAATACATTTTAGATGATTTTTGTGTGTGTAAGTATACATGCACATGAATACCATAAGTCACTTGTGGAGATCAAAGGACAACTTGTGGGAGCCAGTTTTCTCCTTCCATCTTCCACCATGTAAGTCCTAAGGATTGAACTAAGATTATCAGGTTTGTATATAGCTACCTTTACCCACTGAACCATCTAGATGGTCCCTCCTTGTTTTTAGAATTCCATACATGAGGGACACTATCTATTTTTACCCCTCCCTCCCATTTTTCAATTATTCCCACATCCCCTCCATTCATTGTCATATACTGACCATTTTCAATGATTACTACTTTTATAAATACATAGATTCTTTTATTTATAAATACTCCACCTAGTCCATTTAGTGATGCCTGTGTACACATATGTTCATTGATAAACACTTGGGACTGGATATTAGGGAGCTTGATCGTGGAAGAAACTAATTCTCCCTCCCTCAGCATCCATTCATTGCCTGCAGCTCTTCATCTCTAGGTGAAACCCTGTGCAATTTCTCCCATCCACATCAACAAGCCAACCAATGTTTTCATTATGCAGGTCTTTTTTTCATATGGAAGAATTCCTTTATTACCTTTCCTTTGTTTTCTCATAAAGGCATCCTATTAGTTTTACCATAGTTTCTCTTCATATAAAAAGTCTATATGTGGCATATGCTAAATACATTTCTTGTAAAGGTTAATCTTTTATGTGACTAAATAGCAATAATAAACAGAAAAATTATAAATTATTTTCAGACATTGTATTTGTTACAAGCCATTGTAAATATAAAGTATAGTGTGTGTGCCATTTAAAAAAATACATTCATTGATTTAATACACTATAAAACAGATTGGATATAGTTTGGAAAACATAATCTTTTTTTCACTTTTTTAATTGAGCTTTGAAAATTTCATACACTATTTCCCACTCACATCCAGACCCCTGCCCCCATCCATGCCCTCCCACCCCACCAAACCCTATCACTCTTCCAGGTGTTTGTACCCAAATGTCCTTCAGTATAAATATGTCCGCTGGAGTCTAGTCAGCTCATCCAGTGGCCATACGTAAGTCATACTCTTCCTCACCCAGCAGCAACCAGTTTCTAATAGTTCTCAATCTAATGCTGACCTGCCACTGATTTCTCACCTCCCCTTTGGGCCCTTGTTTAATTGAGTATGTTGGCATGGAAGCCTCCACTTCCTTGTGCTCATGAATCACCCCTGGCTCTTACAATCTTTCCACTTCCTCTTCCGCAATGGTCCCTGAGCCGTCAGCAGATGAGGTTCCATATAGGAGTCCCATTGTATGCTCTACAGTCTCTTTTTTTCCAAAACTTGGCCAGTTATGGGCGGTCCCGCGCACGGCATTGCTGCTCGGATCCCTGGCTCTCCGTGACTACTGGATGCTGGCGACTCTATGGGTCGCTGTGCTTCCAGGCGAGTTCTGTTCCAAGCTACCAGGCACTCCCTCTATGTTTCGTGATCCGTTGGCCACCGGTCACGAGGGGAGGTGCAGGAATAGTGAAAGCAAAATCTTCGCAAGTCGTTTACGAAGGGACAGGCCCCTCTGGAGAGACTGAATCGTAGGCAGTAAGACACAGAATTCAGCTCAGTCAGGTACAGCTCCTTTATTCAGTGACTCAGCTCAGCTCCAGATCTTAGTGATTCAGCTCCGATTAATTAGGGGAAACCAGGATATTTATAGTGTGGAGGCAGTAGCAAAAGCCTTAGTTGATAGGTGCTTTGTAGGATGCCCCATTTACATGTGGTGGTGGGCTTCTGCCAGGCTGTCAGTCACTGCCTGATTATCACACAGGAAAACCTGGCAGTTTCTGTGCCAGAGGCCATGTTTCTGGTAGGGCATCTGTGGCGGCCACTTCAAAGGTGAGTCAGGAAGAGAGTGTGAGATGCCCTGCTGGAAAGAGGAGTCTCTGAATAGAAACACCAAGCCCCTTGAGCTATCCGGACATGGAGAGACTGCTACCCAAAACAGCAGGAGTCCCCAACAGCCAGTTGAGGCCTTCTGTGTGCATCGCACTCTGATGTACAAGTAAGCCTCTCTGGTGAGAGTTGAGGGGTGCATTAGCCCTCTTTCTACCCCCTATTCCTCCATGTTCCATGAGCCTTGGTTGTAGGAATTTGACTATACAGATCTTTTTTAGGCAACCATATTGTGAGTATTTTACAGTCGTAGCTTCCCTTTCATGTTTAGAATACACTGCTTAGCAGCAGCTCACTCTTCTGCAATCATCCTAGAGCCTTAGGTATGATTGTTACCCTTTAGATGTAACAACTGGGGATAAGTACAACATGACTGTTTTCTGCATTTTAATCAATCTGAAATACTCTCCATTTGTTGTAAAACAAAATTCTTTAATGAGTGAGGAGAACTAACTCGCCTCTGAATAGAAGGATATATATTTAGAATATAGTAAAGACATTGCATTGGTTTAGGACACAAGTAGTAGTAGGTTCTCCTCTCGGATTTATGACCTCTCCAACCATGGGTGCTTGGATATATTTATAGTACCAGGCTGGATTCCCCCTATGGAACAGGCCCTATGTCCAATTAGAAATCTCTTGGTTACTCCCAAGATTAAAGTACCATGCTTGCACCAATAGTCATATTTTGTTACGCCAGTTACTGTTGTGGTACATAGATTTTATGACTGGGTGGGACTATTGATTGCCTTTCTCCCTTGACTGCTGGTATAGCATCTTCTGATACTATAAGTCAATCCTTAGGACGCTTCCAGGTCAGTTCCAACTCAGTTTCTGGGAATCTTATGTCTGAAGCATGTCTTCAACAGTACAGTTTTGCCTTCAAGTTCTGTCAGGCAACCAAGTTCTAAGAAGATAGCTTATATTATTTTGTGATTCTCTTGGTGTAACCTAACAACATGAAGGGAGGGTTTCCTTGCTTGGAACAGGGATTTTTATTTGTTACCCTTCAGCGGTACACACACACACACACACACACACACACATTTTTAAGTAAGCTAATAGATTACTACTTTTCCTTATGGTTTTTCAGGCACCCTTAGTATTTTTTTTAATCTCCCCTTTCACTCTCTCCCCATGTTACCATTTGTCCTAGTTTGTTTCTTCATTGCTGTGATAAAATACTCTGACAAATACCAACTGGGTTGGGGGGGGTTATTTTATCTTACGTCTCCTGGGTCACAGGTCATCAGGGAGCCCAAGGTAGGAACTCAGGGCAGGAACCTGGAGGCAGGAGCTGAAGCACAGGCCATGGAGGAACACTACTTACTGACTTCCTCCCCCTGGCCCCTGCTCAGCCTGCTGCTTTCTTATGCAACACAGGTCCACCTGCCCAGGGGTGACACCACCCACAGTGGGCTGGGCCCTCCCACATCACTCAACAATCAAGAAGATGCCTGTGATAGCTAATCCTGGGTGTCAACTTGATTGGATCTGGGATTAACTGAAATGAAAGGTATCTTCTTGTTGGATCATCTAAAGCCAGAAGACACTCCCTAAATGTGGATGTTACCTTCTGATGGCAGCCAGTATAAAAGGCCAAGGCAGAGGAGAATGCCAGGCTTCTTGCTGCTTGCCTTCTCTCTCGCTGGTGAGTTCATCTTTCTGCTGTAGACTGAAGACTAGCAGATCTTTTGGAATTCATCAGACCTTCAGTGCCAGATTGGGACTACTGAGACATCTTAGCCTTGTGGACTGAGCAACTACGGATTCTCAGCCTCTCTAGTGTGGTAAAGTCATTGTTGGACTACTCGATCTCTAGTGTGGTAAAGCCATTGTTGGACTACTCGATCTCTAGCCTGTGAGCTAAGGTGATAAATCTCTATACATGTGTATTCATTCTACCGGTTCTGTTTCTTTGAAGAACGCTGACTAATACAGTGCCCCACAGACATGGCCACAGGCCAGTCCAATGAAAGCAAGTCCCCAAATGAGGGTCCCTCAACCCAGGTGTGTCAAGTTGACACTAAAGCTATCCAGCACAATTGACCCCTTGTCAACTTGACACACAAACATCACTATTAAACCATAACTTTTCCCATTTCTGTCCCCATGATATGATATTAATATCACAACATAAGATAGCACAACCTTAAAAGCCCCACAGTTCCTAAAAAATGCAAACACCAAAATGCAAAACCATAGGGTTCTGGGAGTTCTACTTCTCTGCCTCTGACATCCACAGCACGCACAGTTCATCTCAAAGACCCAGGCCAGCTCCATTCCACACCTCCTGCTGTCCTTGGTGGTTGTTCCATGATCCTGGCCATCTCCAAAAAGCTGGGGTCTCCACTGAAACTGTGGCTACACCCCCACCAATGCCTCTTCTTGCCTCCTAGGGTGCAAAGCCTCCGCTTCTCTCCATGACCCCTTCAATCCTGGGGTCTTCATTGCAACTGAAGCTGGACTATCACCTATGGCCTTTCCTGGCCTCTCGGAGTGCCAAGCCTCAGGTACTCTCTGTGACCACTTCATGCTTTCAACACCAAATAATGCAGGAGAGTCTTACACACTTCCAGCTAGAAATGGAGGTTTGGGCCCCCTCTGTGTGCTGACCCTGAGGAAATACCTCCCAGAAGATTTTACCACAATGATGCTGATCTTCTGTTACTTACAGCTGATTTTGTAGCCCACCAGCATCAATTGTCCAGCAAAACAAAGGTTCCTCTTCAGGTTCTGGTCTCTTCTTAATCACAGCTGATTCTTCAGCCCCAGTCCACGAGAACCCACAGACTCTCAATTCAAAATATCACACAAACAGCCCTGATACTCTCTGCTTCCCTTGGAAGTTTCACAAGCCAGGCCTCCATCATCCACAACTCTTTTAGCATAACTGTTCCTAGCTCCAGAGAGCAACAAACTCTAAGCACTCAATGGTTTTTCCAGCTCAGAGTTCCAAACGCTTCCACACTCCTCCTTAAAACACCAAGGTCAGCTCTGTCACAGCATTTCCCCACTCTCTGGTACCAACTTCTGTCCTAGTTTGTTTCTCCACTGCTGTGACAAAACACTCTGACCAATACCAACTTGGGGAGGAAAGGG